GGGGCCCATGGGTTCTACTTTAGATAGTAGCAGTTAGCCCTCGACCGGCTTTGCGAACCTCGACTGTCTGCAGGTTTCTGTCAGGTGAGGCCTTGACTGTCTCTTGTCCTGTCCCCGACTACATCCCGCACAGAACAGCGAACTCAATGCAGGCCAGTAGACCCCATGCAGTAGAACTGGAATCCAAGTAATGGGACCCAGAGTATACGCCGCCTGGAACTCGAGATTCCGACAGCGGCCGGGCACCACCTGCACTGCGCAATTGAGAAATTCGGTTTCATCCTCTGTGGATCCATGCGCGCCAGCCAGGACAAAGCCGGTTTTCGCCTAGGCTGAGTGATGCTGGTTCTGCTATCGTCCGCGACTCCTCCTCCAGATTCTTCTTAACAAGGATTGCCCCTTGTACGTAGTATAATTGGAGCAACACCCTGACAGAGTTCAGGGGCATCCCTTCATTAAGAATGGTGATGCTACAAGCATCAAGACCTCAAAGATGCTGATGCAAGGCAGAAGGTCAAATTGGCTGCTGCAGCTCCTCTTTGACGGTTCTGTTGGGGCGGTTTTGCGGGTCGCCCGAGATGTCGTCTGTGCTTGCCAAGGCCTGCGCGAAGACTTTATACATGTTTACCATGCTAGAGACTCTAGCTGTGTTCGTGATTGTTTGACATTTACGCAGCACGACAGTCATTCCAACTGATATCCCGCCTCCTGTTGCTCTTGCGAGGCTTCTACCATTCGTGCTACTACAATCCTGCTGCGTACTGCTGCTGCTGCTGCTGCTGCTGCTGCTGCTGCTGCTACTGCTACCGCTACCTCTACTGCTACTGCTATTGTTACAACAACCACCGCTACTTCTGCTGCTGCTATTACTGCTACTACAGTTCTCTTCCCGCTGCTGCTAGTGCTGCTACTAGTACTAGTACTAGTACCACCACTACTACCACTACTGCTTCTGCTTCTACTTCTACTTCTACTTCTACTACTACTACTACTACTACTACTACTACTACTCCTGCTGCTGCTGCTGCTGCTGCTGCTGCTGCTGCTGCTGCTGCTGCTCCTGCTGCTGCTACGGCTGCTGCTGCTGCGGCACGCTGCTGTTGCTGGTGTTGCTGCAGTAGTCCCGCCACCAGCACTGACATCCAGCACCAACGACGACGACTGCTCCCGCAAAGACTGCAGTTGCTATCACTGCTGCCGCTGACGCAGCAACGACACCTGGAGTTCACCGCAGTGGTGAACAGCTTGCATTGTCATTGTTTACTCTCTTTGTTTGCCGCTTCGTCTTTTCACGCCTGTCAGGCTACTTACAGTGCATTTGGTCTTGAGTCAAGGCCTAGGTGTGGCTTGGATTCTGGACAGTCAATGACGAAGGTTTCGTACTGGATTAGTTCCGTGCACGGAGAGGCAAAGTATATTGCTAGGTGCTGACTGGCTGTTACATGCTCATGTCGCACCAGGGTCACAGGGTGCGTTGCACGGTGCGTTTTGCGTTGGTTCTCAGCAAGAGCTTCGCCCACGGCTGGGCTGCCAGGTGCTGGGCCTCACCTTCCTGTCGACACAGGTGGCGGGCCTGTAGATTAGGCTGCACGTCTCTCCAGAGGGTGCTGCTCGTCACTTCGCTCTCTTTCTCTCTCGCGCTCTCGCTTTCGCTCTCACTCTCTCTCTCTCTCTCTCTCTCTCTTTCTCTCTTTCTCTGTAATTAGCTGTTATGCAACAATCTCCCATTTCCGAACATATCAAATCTTCTATGCAGAATGTTTTGCGTACAGAAACTCAGAGCATTCATTTTGGTCTCTGACCTGTAGGCGCCTAATCGCAGCGCTCCACGTCATGCTCTCACTCAACCTCATGACAGCAAGCCGAGGCCTTGGATAAGTTGATGATGTGGACTTGAGTCAATTGGTATATATATATATACACACACACACATATATATATATATATATATAGATACAGTATTTATATTTTTTATATTTATATATTATCTATTTATATACGTATATTTATTATAAATATATTCATATTTATGTTTTATTTATGTTTATGTATATCGTCGTAGCATGGCGTGGCAGAAAATGCAACATGGCATGTCACCAGTAAGCGTAAAGCCACGAAGCATCGGTCAGGCCTTTGTGACTTAGCTTTGCGTGACCCGAAACCGACAGGATGATCAACATGGGAGTTTCCGAAAATTAGGGGTACCTTATTTAGGGGTCCTTATAATAGGGATCCTACTATTTAGGGTACTAAATTAGGGTCCCCTATTTTGGGAAAGCCCCTACATCGAGCTTGACTTTTTTGGGATTTCGGCCAAATCAGGTGCAGCAGAATGTGTCTTATACAGCTGCACTTTGAGTAAAATTCCACTTGCCTAGAGATTTCCTTATTGCTTACTCACCGTCTGCAAAACCTCCTTTGAACATCTACACGGCCTCAACCCTTGAAAAGCTCTACCCCGAGGTCTTCCTTCAGTGACTTCAGCAACGCCTTCCACGGTGCTTGCGGTGGACTTGCCGCGGCAGGCAGCGCTGCGCTGGCGCTGCGCCGCTCCCAGCGGCGGCCACGACCGCCAGGACAGGAAAGGAGTGTCAGGGTGGTGATGATAATGATGATGATTATCACATGGTCACCCTTTTCGTTACCACGGTAAGTGCCGGCCACAGCCATGCAACAAAAGAACGACAAACTGCAACACGTTTGGGACGGCTTCCCAAGGTTACCCACACCCACCCAACAGCAGAAAGCTTCAACATTTCAGCTACGCCTTTTGTGGGTGTAAAAAAGCCGATGCTCCAAAACGATTAACGCGCCTTACACCTCGGCGTTTGCTCCACTGGCCTTCTTCTGATGATGGCGGTGGCGGTGGTGGTTGCAGTGGAAGTTGAAGTCTTCGTGAAAATGCGCTGTCCTCGCCCGGACTGAACTGCCATCGCCAATCGCGACGTCAATGTCCATCCTTCTGCTACCACTGCGTGCAGACATATAAGTGCATCCATCACAAATTGCACGGGTGTGACTGCACTTGCCCGTCGACGCACCCCTGCTCCAAGTAGCTGTGAACTTTCCGTCGTTTGTTGCTCGAAGCCTGGAAGCGTGTGACATGCAGCTCTGTCTTAATTTTTTTCCAACCTTCAGGCCAAAGCCGACAAACTCTTGCGTCTGAAGTAAGGGAGGAATTTAAGAGTCGGCCCTGTCCCAGTAACCAGCGGCTGGCGGAAGTGGCTGCGCAGCACAAGACCCGCAGAGGTCTCGCCGGCGAGCACAGGCCCTCGCAGTTCCTCGTAGTTGGGAGCAAGCGTGCTCCCGCTTGAAATGTGATGCCGTGTCTCAGACGCGAGGCACCAGCACAGATACCCCTCCGACTCCATTGGTCCTGGTGGTGAACTTGGACCGGAGTCCAGCCCGATGGGAGTCTGCCCAGGACGGCATGCCCTTGAGTTGCGCAGTCCGGTTATGCTTGGTCCGCCCGATGGACGTCCACCATGGATCGGATAGTCAACGAGCCTTCTCCTTTTGGCCAGGTCGAGTTCGCGCGTGAGGATTTGAAGGCCGTTTGCAGGGGTGCATCCTGCTCTGCTTCTGTGTTGTCGTGGTCACGATGATGAAGCGACGGTCTGTCTTTGTAATTCTCTAGACACAGGATTCACAGGATCGTTGCAGGCCTGGTTCAGGTTGACAGAGAACTAGACAGTGCAATAAAACCGTGCCGCTGTGCCGCTCGACGGTGCCTGATCATGGTTTGCACAGAAGCGGGGTTCCCGTAGTTTCCGAGACTGTGGAACGCTGAAACCAACACTAGCACCACGAACAAGAATAGCAGCATTCCAGCAACACTCACTTCAATACACTGTGTCCTTGTCTGTGTCTATCTCTGCATCTACATCTTTATCTTTGTTTGTCTATCTACCTGTCTATCGGTCTGCCCATCAATCTACCTACTGACCTATTGGATATTCTGTAGTGCTAAGGCTGACACTCCTATTTCGGCTGGCCTGTCGTCTGACGTAGCGACACTGCAAAACATTGGCGAAAATCATGTCCTATGTATTCCTACGTGCCCTCCCACCCCGAAACCTGACAACCTTGTCCGCCACTTGCTGCGTGCTACCGGGACCAGTGGTTCAGAAGTCTGAAAATTCAATTTGCTGCGCGAGAGGTAACATCCACCTCCCAAACCCGAAGCCGCCCATCTTGAGACAGATACAGGTCGAGCGCTTCCCGGGCACGGATGGGAAGGCTATGACCCACGAGCAGCTGAGGGATGTGGCGACCTGTTCGGACCTCAGTGCGTCATGTCGGGTCTCGAGACCTTAAGTGCCTGAACCGAGCCTGTACTCGTAGATGCCTTAGCGTTGTGAGTACTCGAACCAAGAGACCTCGTTTGGCGGAGTCCGAGTTCCGAGTTTTACACGCTTCCGGGTCAGTCTTTCGGAGTTGAGGGCTTCAGGATTCCGAGAAACATTTTTTGATTGAGAGTTGTGCGTCTCAACAGCAGCTGTTTGCAGCCTATAGGCAGTGTGTTGCAGGAACCAGGCTTTCGTAGCCGTGAGCATCAATTTTATCCCGAGCATTGAACCAGGGTCGGCGCTGCATTGAATGGCTGTGTTGTCTGCAGGGTCAGCGCGATGGTCGGGAGCCCGAACGCTGTTGTTGACCCTGTGGTCTAATTAATGGAAAGTTGAGAGTAGTGGCATGACGCTCAAATAGGGGACGGAGCTGATTTTGAAGGATCCAGGTGTGCTTTCTTTAGTGGAATCTTCTATCTGTCTATCTATGTGTTTTTATTATTGTTCGTCTGCGGGTTTGAGGTTTTGTTTCGCTGAAGAGGCATTGACATATGTATTGCAGAAGCTTTGTGGGAATTCCCTTGCCCACTTTTCTACTCGCTGTGAGCATAGTTCTCTGCAGCGCGAGAGGGAAAAATTGGAAAACTAAATGAAAGCTGGTAGAGCTCTGAGTCTGGAGTTCTGACGTCTCGTCATCTGGCCGTCTTAACCTGCCAAGAGCAGGAGCCGAAAGCTCGCGGGTAGCTGAGGCTTCCGACAGCCACTTGGGCCCATAGCCATTGCACAGCTGAGACCTTCTAGACTCAAGAACCACCTGTCCATCTTTGCATGACATGGCTGGCAGATAGCCCAGAGAGTAAACCGTTTCTGGGATGTTGCATATGCCAAACCAAGCTTATGCAAGCCATAGTTTGGACCGTATACGCATCGATCAGTGTTTGCCAACAGCTTCTCGATTTATTTGCCGCGCATCGCTCGTGCTCGCGACGGCGCGACGCTGGATTTGGCTTCCCCAGACCTGGGCGCAGACCCAGAAGGTCTGGAGAACCGGAGGTGGGCTTTTGCGCAAGGGGGCCCTTAAGCATCTGTCAAATTCGTGGCCGCCGATCCCCATGCTCTTTAGTTTTTGCCCTGGCAGGCTGGAGAGCTATGGCCGAAGGAAGCCCTGGGTATCCCGAGGCTGAAGCCAAGGCCAAAGTGAAGAAGCCGAGGCCTTTGCCCCCGCCGCCTCCTCCCTCCCTCGCCACGGCCTCCCTTCTGGTGCGGGGCGCCGCTGCACGCGTCCTGGGCCTGCAGCCTGGGGCCTGCGGTGGTGAGCTTCAGCCGATTTGGGTCTCAGAGCCCGGATGTTCCAAGCTGACCATGAGCTTGGATGGATCTGCCCGATCACCTTTCCCCAAAGACGAGCTGCACGGCCCTCTGCTCGATGCGCTCGAGGCGGAGGCCAACCGCTTGGCTGCAGAAGGCGGTGCCATCGCCGTTTGGGAGATGGATCGGCCCGAGGCAGAAGCTAAGTACGGGGAGGCCATCTACGAGCCCAAGTCCCAGCGCCCTGACAAGCTACGGCTTGCTCATCTGCCGGGAGCTGCTTTGCTGGAGATCCCGAATAACTGGACACTCTGTGCTACGACGACGGACTGCGGAAAGATCGAGTTTTTGCAGAAGGAGGTCGAAGCTGGCTCAAAGAAGAAGCCGGACACCATGATTATGGCACTGCTCTTAGCACTACTGCAGGGTCGCAGTGAATGCGACTGGCTGCCAGCGCTGTCTTGAGTCCGCTGTAACAAAGGCCAAGAAGAAGCAGGTCATTGTGAAGTTCGGTGTGCAGAACCCTGATGCAGCCGCGGCTGATATGAAGGGCGATGCACCTAGCGAGGAACCCCGGCTGAAAACACGTGGCTGATCATCCACGCCGCGGATCATCAAGCTGGCCGATCCGTTTGATCCGTTTGTGGACTTTCTATGCGTAGCTTTGCAAAGATCTCTTCAAGGTTTCTGCAACATGGGCATGTTAGGGTTGGGAATAAGGAGGTGGCGAAGGCCCTCGCCGACAACTCCGTCCGTCTCTTGGCAGCAGATGGCCTCAGTCAGCATTTGGCTAAGACATGGGATGTGTTGTCAGGGAGCGACGTCTCCTGAGCCTGGTCGTTTCAGGTGTGACTGTTGTGGGCGTGGACGTGCCTGATGCCACCAAGGAGGTAAGCCACGGGAAGGAAGTGGGCACTCATCCCGTTCAGCCCGCTGTTTTTGTTTTCAACGAGAGCTTTTGATTCTCTCGAGAAGCTCTCCCTGCTGATAGGCAGCCCAAACTTCCACAGCTGCTGCGGCCCCAGCAGAGACCGAGAACGCAGAGGCAGATTTTGCCGCAGGGGCAGGGGTTGTGGGTGCTTGGTGTTGGTCGTCGGAGTAAGGACATTTCATGCAGCACTTCTTGTGGTTCGTAATTGTGTCGTGCTTGTTGTATGTAGCAGCGCATTTCTTGGCTGCTCGCCTCCCGTGAGGCTGGTGACATGGTCGTGGATCCATGGTCTGTGAAGGGACGCTTTGCCAAACCAGTTGTCATCGGGCGATCGCACAAGGAGCAACCGTACTGAAGTTTGAGTAGCTGGCAGAACGATGGCCACGGCATGCTGCCGAATCAGCACGAGCACTGCGATAGTCGAGGCTGAACAAGGCAAAGACGAACTCAGATAGCGGCACTTCCCAGCATTTCCCAACCCTCAGCCGACTGACGTTTGGTCTGCAATGGAAGTGTCCTAGGCAAGATCGACTACGAGAAGCTGGTGCGGGACTTCGGCTCCACCAAGATCTCCCCGGAGCTGCTAGAACCTTGTTCCGGACGAGCAGGGTTTCTGGTTCGGGTCCATGTTACATCTGCTTCTACGGATGCAGAAATGTATTGTATATACAGTCACGATCATTCACACACACACACACACACATATATATATATATATGTCGTGATATACATGATATACAGAAAAGGACACTGCAGGTTCGCTATGTGTACTTGGGAGTGAAGTGTTGCAGCATGTCAAGTCAGAAATGCTATGAAGGGCTGCACGGAGCACGGGTTGGTGCTATTGGATCGCTGCCAAGGAGAGGATCCGCAAGTTGACAGTGGGGTCAGGACGGCCTCATTCCTGCCCGTCCTTTGAGTCTTGGTTTGCAGGATAGGGTGACAATTGTATTCAGATAACGCATCCGATGCCTTGTTTGGTGCAGGACGCGTTTCCGATCTGCATTGCTGGCTGATTCTTGGCACAAGATTTTGGACAATTGAAAAACGAACTCTTGAGGCATGTGGGCTTGCAGGGCTTGTGAATGCTGTGACGAGGCGGAGGAATATATTCTTTTCCCACCGCGAGCTTGACGCAATTTGTGCCCTGCAGGATATTCGTCTTCCGGTTGCAGTCCTCCGCCAGTTTGGGCTTGGCATTTTTGGCATTTGACCCCGTGACATGCAGGAGAAAGGCATGCCTTTCTACCTCTACACCGGCAGAGGGCCCAGCTCTGCGGCGCCATGGCTCAAGGTGTTCCTTAATTGTCTTGACCCACCAGCTCTGACATGTTGCTCCTTTCCTGCGTGGTTTTTCCCACGCCCATTCCAATCGGCACAGCTGGTGAGAGATGCTGCAATGTCCGAGGCGATGCATCTCGGGCACTTGCTGCCTTTCATGTTCACTCAGCGGCTTCGGTACGCAACGTAGAAAGTGCGAGAGCTTGGGGTGTTCCAGCTTCCGGCTTCATTTACAGAAGCCTAGGATCCTCAGAGATGGTCTGTGGCTCAGACAGGCAGGAGTCCTGATGTCTGGCCAAGGTGGCTTCAGAAGGCGTTCAACGTACCGCTGGTCATCCAGATGACCGACGATGAGAAGTTTTTGTGGAAGGCGAGTGATGCTTCTTCTTGCTGTTGACGTCAGCCATGATTCTCAACTGCATTCTTCTTGCATCAGGGCGAGTACGATCCGGACAAGGGAGACAATCTGCATTTTGGCAGAAGGTATAGGTCGTCAGAGCTCTCGGGCTTGTCCCGCCATGCTTCCAAAATCCCTTAACTCCACCGACCCGAGGGACCTTTACCGGCGATACACCGTCGAAAACGCCAAAGACATCATTGCTTGCGGTTTTGACAAGAGCAAGACCTTCATCTTCTCCGACTGCGACTACGCCCCCGCTCCGCGATTGGCTTGTTTGCTGAAGCCACAGCATGGTTGTAACCGTCTTCGGTTGAAACCCTCTGACAGGTTGGACACATGTACCCCAACATCGTACGGACTTGGAAAGCGATTACTTACAACACAGCCAAGTCCGTGGCCCGGCAAATTTTGTCAGGGCCGAACCGTGAACGAGTCCTACGATGCTGGTGTCAGTTTCCCGACGGGCCAGGCATTCGGCTTCCAGGGAGACTCGAACATTGGACAGTCTGCCTTCCCGGCCGTTCAGGCAAGGGCTGAAGCCTTGCAAACACTCCGAGAGTCTGACGGAGCATCAGCAGGCGGTGCCTTCCTTCTCCTCGTCCTTCAAAGTGCCTCTCGGGGACAACGAGCGCTTGCCGTGCTTGCTGGAGCCCCAGTCAAGGGCTGATGTGGCGTCCATGTAAAAGACATATGTAGCCCATGCGCACGTATATCCGAAAGCCTTTGGGTATCTTTGGGTGGAGTCCCCAAGGATCCCTTGCGCCATCGATCAGGATCCATACTTTCGGGTCGCTTGGGCAAGCAACGGCACGAGGTTCAGAATGGGGTGTCGCACGCTGCCGCATGTGTCCGACCGATTGGTGCGGCATGTTGAGTGCACATCCTGAGTGATGCTTGGTCAGGTTACTCGAGACATTGCCCACAAGCTAGTCCCGACGCCCAGCTGCACCAAAGCTCTGCACCCAACTCCAAACACAGATGTGCAGAGTTAGCAGGAGCTGAGCTGTGCCGAGCAGACTGGATTCTAGACTACCGTGCAGTTCCTGAGGAAGGACCATCCCCTCAAAGGAAAGCCGTCCCTGATTCATTGCCGCTGGGCTATTGTTTGGCATAGCAGCGTTGTTTTTCCATCGCAGCGGATTCCCTTCTGAATTTTGGATGCTCGGCTGTAGATAAGATGACGGCTGCACCAAAACATCATCACAAGCACAATGTGCTTGAGTAGATCCCCGAACGGTAATAGAGCATGAAGAAGACCGCGACCACCAGGACAACCACGACGACGAAGACCAGGACGATCACCACCACCGGGAAACCACATAAAACGACGAGGAGCAAGGAAAACACCAAAAATATGTCCCTTCCTGTCCGATGCAGAGCTCCCCCCGACCGCAAAGCTTCCCCATCTTGTCTAGTGGGTTTCGCGCGTTTTCGTGCTTCCGCCATGTCCTGGCGGGATTCACAAAATGCATCCCCGACGGGTCGAAGCAAAAATGATATCGAAATTTGCAAGAGTTGCAGTATACGTGGCCCTGGCATGACTTTGTTTATAGTTGGACAGCCTCGCGCGAGTTGCGAGGCGAAATAATACCTGGACAGAAGCAGAAAACCCGCACCGAACCAGAGCGGGAACCAAGGCCTCGCTTCCACCGAACGTGAGAATACGCCGTACGGGTGGTTTCCACACTCTTTGGGAACCATGTTATAGTAACTAAGGTTATTATTAGGGTAACTACACTTATAACTACTGTTAGAACCTGTTAGAATTGAGATTGCCCCACTTTGAAGTGCTTCAAGTCGCGGCTGCGTTTGGAGTTATGCACGTGGTCTGGCCTGAACCCAAGGCAAGTTCTTCCCGCCTTTGACCGGTGCAGATGGCAAAATGGCTGCATCTGACACGAACACAGCCATTCAGATGCATCAAGCAGATGTGCGAGATAATATGAAATGTACAAAATTTAATCATCGACAGTATCTAGTAATAGTATATCAGATAAAGCACCTCGTACAACGAACACAACGGCCCTTGAAGTGCTTGCAGTCCTCCGAACATTAAGGTGTTAACTTGCCCTGGTGTTGTATCTGCATGTGCGTAGGCGCGGTCATGCTTCTACCGCAGTGTTGTTGAAGAAGGGTGTAGTGAGCTTAGCAAGAAACGGTCGAGAACAGCAGCAACAACAAGAACAAGGATCCGTTTTTCGCAACCGGGACGAGCAGCTTCAGGCAATCTTCTTGACAGACACTCCGGATGAGATTGAGAAGAAGATCAAGCAGTACGCTTTCTCAGGCGGGGCATGACATGTTCCGGAGCCTGCATCGATGTGCTGGAGGGGTGATGGGATCGAGACTGAGGTGGCCGGCAAACGGCCAAAGAGCAAAAAGAAAAAGGAGCCGATCTAGCACCTTGGACTTGTCCGAGGCTTCTGGTGTTATAGCCGGTCGTGGGGAACAAACCAGTGGGTTCGTTTCGTGTGAATCAGGATGTGGACGTGTCCTACCAGCGGCTTGCCTGAGAAGTGGCACTCGTCGACGAGCAGGGGTCGTTTTCGGTGCTCAACAATTGACCTCATCAACTCCTCACGTGTAGGTAAGTCAGGGACGTCCGCGAATGCACATGGCAGCGAACCGGCGAGCCAAGCTTCTGGATTCTAGACTCCAGATACACAACAAGGGAAAACCTCGACACCTGGAGCAGCAGCTGTGTAGCAAGACAGCTCGCCTTTGGCTTCAAGACTTTTGATGAACACCGACATGGAGTTGAGAGACCTGCCCAGCGACCAAATTGACCTACCCATAATATGCCAATAGTTTAATGGATTTTCATATTGACGGATCACTTGGAATCGCAGACGAGGCATCCTGCGAAGTCTAATGATAGTTTAAGCTTGGAGAAAGAAGTTTCTATCCGCTGGCAGAAAGATCCAAGGTGGCTCAGATTCTTCCTGGATGACGATGCCGAGCTCCGGAAGATAGAGGACGGGCGTACAAAGTTCTCGCAACAGGGCGTTATGGTCCTCCTCCAAGGCACTGCAACAGAACAGCGCGGTTCTATGAGGTTCTATATTCCGATTGCTTTTGCATGTCGGAAGCTTCATGGACTTGCGATGTCATGCTGGCCACACAGTTGCAGTTTGAGTGCATCCCGTGCTGGCAGGAGCAGTATGGCTCAGGCCAAGGAGAAGACTACTGGAACACCGGGCAGGCCATGCAGAGACCGCATGTGTGCTCGCTCTGGATGTCCAGCTTGGCGTGACTGTGTGATGCAGGTCAAGAACAAGTTGATAGAGGTCTTGAAGGTACTGGTGAAGCGACATCAGGACGCGTCGTTATGAGACGTAGGCGGCGGACACTTTCACAGCGCGCTGTCAGCACACACCAAGAATCCATGGTAGCAGAAGATGCTGCCTCGGTCATGCGAGCGGGGCCTGTTCGGAATTACATTCGCACCGAGTGATCCGTTATTCATGCGACTAGCCAAGCAGCTGTCTAAAACAATGCTTATGTGACATATCTTGCAGGAGATCCGATCGAAAATTACGGACGAGGAGGTGGCAGAGTGGATGGCGGTGCGGAAGCTGGACTTCTGAGTGTGGAGGTCTTGGAGACTTAAAGACTGGAGCTTCCCGGCTGCATTTCCCGCCTGGAGCCAGTCAGGAGTAACTACATGCTCGAATCTATGTGCAGATCCTTACATGGCCGAGTCGAGCCACATGGAGCATCCGAGGCCGCCACAGCCGCAACATGCAACCAGCTCTTCTGAATGGCAGCCGCCTACACTTGACCATGTGGAGTGACAGTGTCGTCCTTCCAGTGAGGGTCTGGCTGCGGCCAGGCTTATGTAGAGATCATACGATGTGGCAAGCTGAATGGGCTCCGTGGATCCTGGCGTCACTGTTGGCTTCCCTTGGCTTTTGTTGTGCTGTACAGTGCCAGAAGGACACAATCGCACAGTTTTTCAGCATCATCTCGCTGTGCGGCTCGTTTTGTGGCCTGTCTCATGACGAGGCAGAACAAGAGGCAGGATGGATGTGGCACGATTCACAAGTCTCAGTTGCTACCAGTCTTCGATGACCCACATCTGACACTACTCGTCTCCTCGAGAATCTAGCCCCGAGCCCCTCATCCCGTCGCCATGTGCCTCAGCACGTCACCCGCTAGCGGTGCGTCTGGCAGCATCCGAAGGAAAAGTGTGACGTACATGGTGAGCAGCGCCAGCAAGACTGTGAACCCTGTGCTGCTTTGATCCCGAGGTTTTGCACCAAGGGTATGGTTGGCTGCTTCATGAGCCATCGCCGGATCTGGCAGAAGGCCTCTGTCCGCGCAAGTGTGTGTATATTTAATTGACATTGTCCCTGGCGGAGCCTTCCATATCTGCCTCTGTCTAATCTTGTTTTGAATCAGCCTGATGGCTTGCTTTTGCAGGCCTTGCAAAAAACAGTCCAACAAAGATACTTTGAGATGGTGTCGTCGTTACCAAACAGTGGGTTACATGCTATGGAGTTCTTACCTCTGGAGTTAAGAGAATTGGTTAGAGTAGCTAGGTAGTTTGCACCCATGCACTGTGCTTTACACAGGATCCGCTGGACACCGTAGTTTCCGGCGGAGCCAGATTCAATTCCAGTGCCACAAACTTTGAATCCTACCGGTACTGATACCTAGCATGTGGGCCGGCTCTGCCCCTGAATCCCGCTAGTACTTGGGAGAAGCATTTTTCTCCTGTCCTTGCTGGTTTCCTGGAGTCGTCTGGGACTTTCTTGCTGGTCGTGGTGGTCTCTCAGTGGTCTCCAGGTTGTCGTGGTTGTCATTATCGTCCGGTCGTCTTAGTGGCTGCCGTCGCGGTAGTGATGGGGTACTACTGCTGCTACGTTGTTGCAGCAGCAGCAGCAGGAGTAGTAGTAGCAGGAGGGGGAGTAGGAGGCGGAGCAGGAGCTAGCAGCAGCGGCAGCAGCAGCAGGAGGAGTAAGTAGCAGTGGGAAAGGGTATAGGAAGTGGTGAGCGACCCACCTACAAGCAGCACTTGCTCTGCACATTGGTCATTGGTCGCTGGGTCTTTGGTGGGAAAAAGCACAGTGGTTTCCCACTGTCCTGCACATTTGGTTTACTTGTTTCTTCCTTTATGTACACGCATGTTCGAAGACTGTTTCATCGACATGTAGGTTAAACAAATAAATAAATAACTAGATAGAAATAGATAAATAATTAACTAAATAAATAAATAAAAAAATATATATATATATATATGCATACATACATACATACATACATACATACATACATATATATATATATATATATCGATCGCCTCACCAAAGAAATTACATGCAGCTTAGCTAGCCTTTTCTGACGTGGGTTCATGTCCCGTGGCTTGCACAGGTTGTTGACGACGACCTGCCTGCGGTGGTCGTGCTGGAGGTGTGCTAGCCTTCGCTGTCTGCCCTAAACCCTTGGCCTTGCGAACATCACCATCGCTTGTCTTGGGTCCCGTGTCCGAGCCAGGATGACGTGCGGCTGGTGGACAATTTCAAGCCTCGCCTGGGCGAGCTCATGTCCAACCTGCCGGAGGATTGGGAGGCGAGCCGCCTGGGTAATGCTGCCCCGGGCAATGTTTCTATTTAGGGCTCACATCCGACTTTACAGGAGCAAGGACCTCAACACGGATCCTAGTGCAGAATTAAAGATGCGATTTTGAAGATTGTTCACGGAAGCGCCTGAAGCTGCGGCAGGTTTGCCTTCTTGGTGCCATTGCCTCTCGTCGGAGATACTCTGAAGGGAGTTGACGCTTGAGAGGAGCGTGCTGTTTGCGAGTCAAGTCAAGATGTGCAATTACAGACCGAGCCAAGGGCTGCGTCAATCCGGTGAAGGAGCCCTTCTACATGAAGCTGCTCAGATGGAAATTCAATGTTGCACTGTGACGGCTGCATGCCGGAAACGCGGATCTGTGTTTCCGCGCGCACGCATCGAATGCGGATCGCATGCTCTGAAACATTTCGCTGGTCAGGTTCTACTCCCTCTGCCGCTCGGAGAGAATTCACAAGTTGCTTCAGTATGCCTGCATTGGGGTTTGTCGAGCTGCAATGTCAGCAAGAAAGCAAGTCGGCATTGAGTCCTGGAGAGAGCTGGATCAGGAGTGTCGGGGATCGTTGTTTCGTGTCGTCCTGTCAACGCCATGGGCTGCTCCGCTGGTGCACCAATCAAGGACAAGGCCGGAGCTGCCAAGGAGGTTTTGCAGGGACGTGGTGAGAGCAGTAGTTACCTGTGAGGTGAAGCTGGAAGCGCTCCAGAACATGCAAGCCCGGTTCCCGCTCCGCCGACCGGCGCTGCCTGGAGACGTCTTGCTCAGTGGCAACTTGCCCTGCGACGTGGTGGGGCAGCTCGCGGGCCACTGCAAGGGATGGCTGTATTTGAATGAGACTTCGGATGAGCATTACTTCCCTGCCGCCATCCGGGCAGAGGGCTGCGAGCTGGAGGTCATTCCCTTCAAGCCTAACAAAGAGCTGCCAACCAGCGTCGTTGAGGAGCTGGTTAACTGCATTGGCCGGCTGCCTCGCCCTTTGATGATCCAGTGCACCAGTGCAAACCGAGCTGCAATTGCCATGCTCGCTTGGATGGCGAAGATGCGCGGCTACACCCCTGGCTGCATAGACCTTCTGGTTGCAGATCTCCAGATCGACACCGTGAGAGCAGAGGCCAAAGCTTGGCTCCAGTCGAGGTTGCCCTCGTTGGGACAACGGGATGGCAGCCCGCTGATTCAACAGAGCCCTGAGGTGAGACAGTTCTTCGATTCCGTGTCCAGCACTTTGACGCTTGGCTACTTTTTGAGCACTCGTTGTCCTTGCCTTGCATGTGGGCATTGTGTTAGTGGCGGCGAGAGAAGCAAAGGACATACTTGATTGCCTGTCCAGCCACCAAGCAAGCTGTTCTCATCGACCCGGTTTTGGAGCACAAGGATCGCGACCTAAAGGCCATCACAGAGCTGGGCTTGCGCTTGAAGTACGTGCTGAACACGACCTGTACTCAGTGAAATGTGCACAGAACTGTCGCTCATCGCCCTTTGAAACTCTGCAGGCAATTTCTTGCCTGACTTAGGCACTGCCATGCAGACCATGTGACTTCCGGCGGTGCGATCCGAAAGGATTGCCCACACGTGCAGACCATCATCTCCAAGTCATCTGGAGCCCAAGCAGACATCCACGTGCAGCACGGGGACAAGGTGGCTTTCGGCGACCTTTCCATGGAGGTTCGTGCCACTCCAGGCCACACCGATGGCTGTGTGACATATGTGTTGAAGACCCAGACGGCCACGTTTGCCTTCACCGGTGACACCCTTTTGATTCGTGGCTGTGGTAGGACTGACTTCCAGCAAGGCAATTCCTTCACTCTTCATGACAGTGTTCACACGCAGATTTTCACTCTTCCAGATGATGCCCTCGTTTGCCCAGGCCATGATTACAAGGACAGAGGGGTATCTTACGTGCTGGAGGAGAAAATGTTCAACCCCCGGCTGACCAAGTCTCCAGAGGATTTTGCCAAGCTCATGGAGGACCTCAACCTGCCGAACCCGAAGCAGATTGACATCGCCGTGCCCGCCAACATGGCCTGCGGTGTACAGTTTGACCCGTCTGAGAACCTCCCGATCTAGGATTTAGGGGTAAATGGCAAGGCAGGGCAATGCCGGGAGGCATTTGCCCCGATTTTGGCACGGAGAGTTGCTTGCTCTTGGTGCTGATTATGCTTGCTGCGAACACGACCCCGCTTCTGCCACGGTGCAGAAAGCTTTGCGCCACCTCCGGTACCCAAGGTACCCCTGCTTTCAACTGTACTTTGGTTGGAATAGGTCGTTCTGTCACACCCTGTTTATCGTGTTGTGTCATGTCCCTAGACTCTCATCTCGTCTCTGGATAGCGCTGTGGTCTTTCGTCGTCTTGGCTTCCGTGACAGCATGGACAGCCAAGACTAAGATGGACTCTGCACTCAAAGTACAGAGTCGCACCTCGTGCTAACCATGGCAATCGGCGGCGCGTCCAACTCAAAAGCAATCACAGGAGCCCCCCCACAGTCATGCAGGTTTAGAATTGAGGTGCGCAGGACAACTTCAAGATATCTACATATCTCGGAGTCTCAGGTTCCGGTGGTGGTCGACCATCTCCCGGTGCTACCCGGACTGTGGCGCCGAACGCTTACATGCCGTGCGTGATGCTTCCAGCTCGCTCATGTGCAGCAGTGCATCAGAGTAGACGTCGCACATTTGGGCGAGCGTCTAAAGGCCGGGCGTCTTCGTCCCACACCGACCAGCAGGCAAAAACTGCAGCAATCCAACGAAGCATGCTCCCGTGCCATGCATGGTTCGCAGGCACACACGCGTACATGGTCTCTTGGCGGCAAGCCGACGAACCTCAAAAAGTCGAGGAGTGAGAGTTCGTGGCGACAAGATTCGAGATTTCGTTTCGCAACTTCGCGATGAGAAGGTCGTGGTTGTCCAATCACCTGTTGCTACTGATTGCTACTGCCCCCCGCTTCTAGCGTGCTAAGCTGCCGAATCGATACAGGCTGTTTCATGAGAACAGGGCGCTGTGGTGGGAATGCATCCGGGTTTTTTGAGCCGAAGATAGCTTTTGCGAGAGGTCCTCTGCTAAATCAATTCCCGCTGGTTTTCACCACTTGGTGTTGACTGCCAGCTGTAGCATGGGTCTCTGGCATCAGGCTCATGGTTCTGTTGTTTGGAAGGGGCTACTTGGGAGCTTCCGAAAATTAGGGGTACCTTATGTTGGGGTCCTTATAATAAGGATCCTACTATTTAGGGTGCTATGTTAGGGTCCCCTATTTTCGGAAACCCCCGACTTGAAGCACCCAGTTTTGCACCGGAAGCTGTCTTTCCCGCCTTGCCCATGAGGCCTGTCAGTGTCTCGGAGGAAGAGACTTCCGACCTGGAGCTGCCCATAATCTAGGAACCGGATGAAGAATCCCTGGGTGTCTATTAGGGCTCTTACTATGAACCTTAATATATTGGGGCTATAGGGCTTTATTATGCTGGGGTTATAGGGCCAGGGTTTCTTAATCGGGTTCCTACATTAAAGGGTTTAAAGATGTTTAAAGGGCGAAGGGCCTGGCTGTTCGAAGAATCCCCAAGGTCTCCAATCGAGGAGCCAAGCGGCTGTTGGAGGAGCCGGCTCTGATCACATCCAGCGCTTCTTCTCCAGACCTCAAAGAGCCTCAAGCTCTCGGTGAAGTCTCTGGGCGGTGTCGATCCGTCGATCAGGGCTCTTCAAAATGCCCTGACAGGAGCTACCAAAGGCGTGCTACCACGTAGATCTGACGGCCCGCGACTCAGAGCCAAGAAGCACGATCGTTATATAGGCACTGTCGGGCCGTATGAAGATGAACACCGCAAGAGTTTCAGCTGCGAGAGTCGAGCTCTACCTGTTCTGGGGTCAACACCGTTGGCTCGTGCCGGGGCTCTATGTTTGGGCAGGGACTCTCCAAGAGATGAGGCCTGGGCGCTACCCAAGCTGAAGCTCTACGGCGCCGCGGAGCAACTTGCAACCCAGGCCGGGGTGTTGGCGTTTGTAGCTTAGGATTCAAGGGGTTGGAGCCGAGGCTTTCGGTTTTTAAAGTTTCGAGCAAGAAGGGCCCATGTCAAACACTGTAGGTCCTAGGCTTGCAGATAGCAGGGGGAGGCTGAGGGCTTCGAAGATGCCGCATGATGATCGCGGCCCTGAACGTTGATTCTGCAAGGTCTGGAGCTTCGTAGTGTTGGCTTGGGCTCTGTCCTGGCGGGATTGTGGTGGAAGCCCTTGCTATTGGCGCAAGTGACCCAGCCACTCACCAGGATTTCGAAGCCGCGTCCACGGCCACGGCCTCAGCGCAGTCCGACATTTTCTTCGGCAGCAATATCTGGTCAATTTGTACACATTGCAACGACATAGCCATGAACCCTTCGTGTAGCCATATTGGCTTGTTGATGATGATGTGGAATTTCAGG